TTCCTCGCCAGCAAGCACTTACACCCAGGCCAATAATTCCGATGATTAACAAAATCTAGCACTAGAGGGAGGCTGAACACATGTTCTGCTCTCTTTGGCCTTTTCAGCTTCTCCAAACATAAAGAGGCAGGTGATTTAAGCTAGCCCAGCACCCACAAGCAGAACCCAGCCTCCAAACAGGAGACGTGCTATTTAAAGCAGCACCCCCCATTGGCAAAATTCATGCTCCTTCCTCCCCAGCTATCTGGCAAAACGTGTACCCAAAATGAAGAAATAAATTTTGAAAAAATAATAACTTAAAAAATAAAAAAAAAAATTTCCTCTGTTCTGGCTGTTTCTTCAGCCGGTGAGTCACAGCCCACAGAGGCACCAGCGCTCGCGGGGAGCGGAGTCAGGCAGCGAAACACCTGGCAGCCTCCTCCGTAACAAGGATGAGGCTCTCGCTTCTCGCATCTATCAACACATTCCCACCTTCTCCCAGGCGCGAGCACAGGTCTCCTCTGAGCAGCCTCGCGAAGGAAGGCACACACGCCTTCAGACGGCGTTTCAGATTTTCTCTTTCCAAAATTCTTTGGCATCAGGAATATGAGCTCTTTGTCTGATTTTCCGCATATCACAACAGGATGATGGGACCAGTGAGTTCAGTAGGTCTGAATGTGAGAATAGTTCCCTACCCGTGTAGCTGCAGCCCTGCAGACTCTCCAAGCATAGGTGGTTATAACAAGAACCGGAATATTAAACTATTTTATATTGCACTTTACGCAACTGCTCAAAGTCTGATTATTTCTACACTTTAACCCCCAACCTAAAACCGTTTCTTCACATCCTTTTTGATATATCCCAAATTCTTCCTGTGCTCAGCCACTGATGGTATTTACTCATTAATTTGCAGTTCTTACAGTAGTGAGGTAGTGGGATGTAGCAGATCTCCTGCTCTGGGATGCAGGAGATCTTGGTCCTGTTTTTAGCCTGCTGCTGGTCAGCTTGGTGACCTAGGCAAAGCACTTTCCCTGTTCCAGCTTCCTTATCAGGAAGCAACTGGTATTTCTTTTGTAAAGTGTTTTGTGGTCTGTCAGTAAAAACCACACTGATAACAGCCAGGGGTTGCTGGGAAAGAGGTGATCTCCAGCTGAACACAATCCTCTCCGTCCCATGTTGCAGCAGCATCTCAGATCCCAAATGAAAATCACACCCATTAGTGGATGCAGGTAATGAGTAGCAATTTTTAAATGGATGTTTTCCCAAGGTGGCCCTTGGCAAGTTGGCAGCTGAGGGTCATATCTGCTCTCTGCCACTCAGGTCCTGCCCCAACATGAAATTGCTGGGCTCTGAACCTCTCCTTTAAGGAGAACTGGTCATTTCAAAGCCAGTGGAGACCTGAAGCCCCTGTAGCACTCGTGACCCTCAAGACAGCCTTCATGAGGATGGGGTACAGGGACCGGCTTCCTGCATACAGTCCTCATCCCTAAGCAACCCTGTGTGGCAAGGAAGAAAGAAATTGCCAGTGCCACAAGCAAGGGTACTCTCTGTGAGCAAACAGGGCACTTGAGAGGTGGCTGATGAGAGTTTTTCACTTTTGCTTTCCCTGTCCTGGGCAGAATGCCTGTTTTGAAACTAGAAGGCAAAAACATAACAAAAATCTCCCTCCCTCCCAGATCTATCTATTTCCCTTCGACAAAAAGTGATTTCATTTTCTTCCCGTCCAGAATTTTTTTTCTTTCTCTTTCAAACTGAGCCCAGGCCAACGTGGCAAAAGGCTCTTTGCTCATGTCCTTATTTGTCAAACACACCATCGCCGCGCCCTCACCACCATTCTGGGAACAAGTCCTTGCCTTTGCTGGCTGACTGCAGCTGAAGGGGAACTTCCCAACACAACTCTTCCCCAGCCCAAACACACTCTTTTTAAAATAAATATTTCCTTTTCTTTCTTTTTTTTTTTTTAAAGCATTCCAGTTAATAAGAAAAGAGTTCAAATTTCTTTCCCCTTTCCTCCCCAGCACTGCTGTGAATTTGAATATGACAGATCTAGATGAAAAAACAGAAATTACAAGAAAATGCCAGATCTATCACAAAGGTATGTCACGACCCAGCTCTCCTCTGATTTCCATCAGAGCATAAGTGAGATACTAAAGTACCTTTTTGGATCTGATCCTAAGTGGCCAGTTCCACTGTCTAAAGAGATCCAGAGATAAACAGGCCTGTGAAAACTGGGTATTATTATTTTAACCACTGCTCTTAAGCTACAACCTTAACTGCAATAATCTGTGCAGCTTTTAGCCATTTGCTAACAGTAACACGAAATGATAATAAACTAAACGCATATTCTGCTGCCCTCATCAACTTAACACTTAGCATGAAAAGCTTTAGCCTTATTTCATAAGCTGTCATCTGCACTGTGCCATTCAGACAGAAACTTCTGAGGTAAAATGGTTGATTTGCTATAACAGATAAATTTCAAACTCTGGAGTAGATCTGGAGGGCTCTCACCGGGTCCACAGGGACCAAACTTCCCCAGGCAGTAGCTTCAGGCCTGGTCAATGGTCAGGAAGAGGGTCTGCTGCTCCACCACTTACATTTAGCAATGGGGAAACTGAGGCATGGAAATAAAATGGTCTGGCATTGGAGAGCAAAATCAGCCTGTTGGAGCACAACACATGCTCCCGAGATCCCTGATTTCAGGCAACCACATCCTGAGGGCTAAGAACGGATTCCCAGCAGAAGGAACAGTCACCACTCATTCTTCTCTTTTAGCACAAGAATGTCTGTCCAGCGTCATGAAAATTACTGTTTTCACAAAGGCACTGAGCAGCTTTCTCCATCACCACCTGCCCTTTTCCTCCTCTCTTGGGCTTTACATCTTGCTTCAGCATAGCTTTAGCTGCTCTTGAAAGATAAGGAGCTGATCTTGCAACACAAAACCCTGCTGGCTCCTGACTTTAGCCCTGACTTTTGTCTGCTCCTGATCTACAGAGGACAGAAGGGGAAAGAAATGGGAATAAGTGACAAGAGAGCACAGATTAAAGGCAGGGAGTCATGTTTGCTGCATAAGAGTACATCTGGAGTGGTGACAGGCAGGAGTGCTCAGGTACAACCCATCGGTTCACCTTCCTCCCAACAGGATACCATGCAAAGGAATCTTGCTCTAACCAAGCTTCTGCCAAAACCCAACACTGAACACAGCTCTAGCCCCAGTTTCCCAAAGCCAGAGAGAAAGGTGTGACACACAGCAATTTCATGAGTTCAGCAGGAAGAGCCATCCTGTTGGGTGGTTCTACCAAGGGGCACTTGCCCATGACAGCCTCGAGCAGGACAGGCACACTTCTGGACCCATGGCAGGAGGGAGGCATGTGAAGCTGAAGACAGGAGCTCCTCTTCGGGTACGTGGCAAGAGGGAAGCCTGACCCTGAGCAATCCCACCTCGGCCCTTTCCCACTACCCAGGCTCCTGTGCAGGCAGCCGTGCAGGCAATGCCCTGCCTTTGCCAGGAGCCTGCTGTTCCACGTCTTCCCAGGGTGCTCTGGAAGCTCCCCAGCTCCCACGGGGTCCACTCTTCTCAGAGAGATAAAAGACAGAACAACACTTGCTGGGGAATTACTTCATTCCCCCAAGGCTGGGAAAAGCCATGCTCGCACTTGGCGAATGTCCCTGACGGCTGCAGCCTTTCCTGGCAAGGGAGAGTGCAATCCACATTAACCCCTTCCTGCTCACAGGCTGCTTCCAACACCGAACCCACTGCAGGAACAGGCTGAGGCTTTATGATAGCATCTGAACATCTCGCCACGGGCAAGAGATCACAGCAAGCCCATGAGGGAGGGAAATGTTTTTTTTTTACTGAGGCACAAAGTAGATGAATTGACTCGAGTTTGTGAGAGGGTCAGGAACTAAGTCAGGTCTCTTGAATCCTGTTTAACATCTGCCTGCTGGCCTATTCTCAGGTTCAAACCCACCGAGAGACACAGGACAGCCACAGTCTTCCAGGGCCATCAAGGGCAGCCACATGGCTGTCGGTATGGGGTTACACAACTCTCACCAGCCTCAAACCTAGACCATGCTCTCTTTGTTCTCACTACTCCTCACAGAAGGCTCTTCCAGACCTTTGGAGCCGCAGTGCTTATAAAATTTCTAAACACCAGCATGAAGGTACTCCTGGCAAGCTCAGTGCCTCTCCTGTTTCTGCACCAACACTCACACAGAGCTGAATTAGGGGCTTAATCCCCAAATGTATTTCAAATTTGCAACTATACCTCTCCTCAGCCTTCCTTTTGCTCAGCTAACAAGTCAAACTCTTCTAGTCTCTCCTGGCAAGATCGGCTCTTTACTCCTTGATCACCTCAACTGCCTGTCCCTGCAGCCTGAATGCATCTCTGCGGAATGTGCCTGAGCAAGCACAACAGTAGCCAGCACTCCAGGCAAGCTTGCAATGTCTGCACAAACATGCTCATACTTTTCAAAGGTATTCAGGGTATGTCCACATCCACTTTGGACATGCCATCATCACCTGATGCATCTTAGAAGCTGTATTTTCATCCAGATGGCAAAGCTAGAAGATCTAATCCAGCAAAGAGGGGGTGAAAAGCGTCTCAGTGACATCACTGAAGCCTGGGCCAGGGTTTATTTGCTTCACTTAATTTTAGGCACTGAAACAAAGCACTTTTAGGATCAGATTACTGCCCTGAAGTCTCTCCATAGTCCATGGAAGGAGATGGCCATTCCAGAAAACAATTCATTCTGGGAAGGCTTCACTCCCATCCACCATCACAAGGACACAAGGCAATTAGTCTTCTAATTCAAGCCGGATGGGAGAAATCCTTTAATAGCCCAGCAAGTTTTGAATGGAAATATTCCCTGCTTGAGAAACACAGCTTGCTAAAGTTGACTTGGTTATTCCTGACACATGATTTTTAACCACAGAACTTCGCCACCTCATTTTATTAGCATTCATTCATTTCCACAATTTCTGGGTCAGCTCTGCATGAAGGATAAAATTCTTGTCTTCTTACCTGCACATTGTAAGAAACATCATCCAGAGGGGGTGGGGGAGGAAAGGCACCTTGTGGTGATGTGATATGCCCGAGGTCATCCACAGGAGGTGGCGGGGGAGGAAGAAAGTCACCTAGAAGAGAGAATGGGAGAATTTAGGCTCACCAGCATTTCCCCACATCGTGGCATGGATGATCAGGACGAACCCTGCCCTACTCGCAGCTCTGCCAATTGGTTTCATGGCACAGGACAAAACACACTGTTTCACCACTAAATCTTCAGCTGCACCCTCCACCCCTCCCTGCCTCAGGAGATAGCTATGACAGCTCAGTAACACTGGCAGATTGCTTAGAGGTGCTCACACTCCATAGTAAAAGGTGACATGCCACAAAGTCTAAAGGCACCAATGAGCAGCTCCACAGATCAAAGTCGCATTTCAAACCTGCCACAGGCAACTAAAAAACTTGCAACAATGAACACTCCATTTCTAACCTTGCAATGGATCCCATCCAATTCACTCCCATTGTGTGCTATGCCAGCTCTTCTTGATCCCTATAAAGTGCTATCTAAAAGCAGGGATTCCCTGCTGCAGAAGACATACAGAAGGCTGGAGTAGGAACCCAAAATACAGACCTGTCCATCTCCTACGTCCCTGTTGCCAGCAGGCAGCCACTTTATAGCTCCCTTTTCCTATCAGAACTTCATAGTTTCATGTAAAGAACTTCTGGGAAGATCACAGGGTCTTCTCAGTGACAACAGCCATGTGACGGGCCAGTTGCAAGGATAGAAGTGTCCACCTCTTTTAACTCAGGAGGATATTTACAAGGAGGCTGATGAACAAAATTTCTACACCTCCATTTGCTTATCTTAAACTTCCAGAAGAGCCGATGGGATGACAAAGCAGCATCCTGGCTATGAAGCCATTCAGCTTAGATGAAATGGGAGATGAGAGGAGAGAGAAGTTATCCTTGAGAATTTTTATGTGACATGGGAGCACCAAACAGAAAGAAAACACGGATAGAGCACACCACACTGCCACGCTCTCAAAGCACCTCCTAAGGGTGGAAAAGGAGTGTTTGCCACTAATACTGGATTTGTCTCCTGGCAAAGCAGCTGCCTGCAACTTGGACCACTTTGGTATGTTTTTATTTCTCCTTATGAAGCTTGATGCTGCAAAGTAGAGCTGTTCGCAGTTGGCTCTACTGTGTGCAGCACCTGGCATGGAAGTTACGGATTAATAGAAGTGTGATATGTCACGTCTATAGGAACTGTTGCTTTTGGAGGATTTTAACCCCTTTGGAAGGAAATACGAGCTCCCTGCCTGACCCTCCCTATCTCCATGCAGCATCACACTGCCCCCGGCTAAAGGCCCTCAGTACCATCCCCAAATTCCACAGAGCAGGCTCAGGTCAGAGAAGTGCTGAGCCAAACCCCTGTGACCTGCAGTCCTCTGGGCCACTTGTGCCTGGGTTCAAAGCCCTGGGCTCAGTCTACCCCAGGCATGGGCACCAACTGGGCAGCACCACCAGCATGGCACCTCCATGCAATCTGCCATGGGAAACACAGAGGTCTGCAGCCCTGGAAAGTTTTTCTGTTCTATTTCAAATCACTCTGTGAAAGACACAAACTCTCCCTAGGACTTTCAGGGATGTTATTTCCCAGAAAGTTGTTTCTTCCCATTTTCCCCAAAGTGAGTATGAATGGGACTCAAAAAAACCCCCTCTGAATCCCCAAGAAAGTATCATCCTAAATACAGATGCTCAAAGACAGTTCGTAAACAACACACTGAAAACTAATTTAAGACAATCACATTGCTCCAATACATAAAATCCCATGAAACCTACTGGTTCATGCTATTATAGAGTTCAGGATTGATTTTTTAAAAAATTATGTCCAATAACATCTGCAATATCCTCATCTATGCCCTGTAATTAATCCAATCTTTTATTTCAAATCATCTGAAATAAAATACAGAGTAAAAAGAAAAGCAGAAATATTTTGAAATTAGTATCTAAGTGTTTAGTTCTAAAAAATGCTGGGATGTTTGAGTGCTAAGTAAATTTTTCTCCTTTGCTCTGAAAATGACCCTGCAACCAGCCAACACGATTTTGCAAATGAATTCAACTCCAGAGGACACATACTTCCCAAAAAATATGCTTCAGATAATGTTTCTCCAGTAAGTCCCGGCTCCGATGCCAAAGACTGATCTCCCTGCACAGCACATTAGTCAGATACTCTTGCTTTATTACAACGCTCCTAAACACCTAAGAAAAATCAAGGTAGAGAATGTGTTGGAGGGGATGAGAGAGGGAAAAGGGCAGGTTTTGTGCATAAACAGAAGGGGAAAATAACAATTGCTATAACAGAAGAGGAAAACAATGACTGTTAAAACAAATACAAACCAAATAACATTTTGCCCCTTTGGAAGATCCATTCCTCCTGGAAGAAAAAACACAGTGGCAAGATTTTTCAGGAAAGTAGCTTAAAACTTTTTTCTGTCTTTCAGAAAAGGACAGAAAAAGAGAAGAGTCCTCTCCTGGAGTTTGGAAGAAAACACTCTTCTTTGCAGTAGGAGACAGCTGGCTTTATTGCATCCCAGACCAGCTCTTCTGACTATGTCCCATGTTGGATAAGCTGCTGGCTCCACTCACCCCACAAATGGGAAGGTTTTTAGACTGGGAAGCAGAGAGCAGATGCCTGATGAACTGGGGGGACCTTGCAGATGTTTGGCCTTTTCCTGGTCCTCTGTGAACAGATGGGCTTTTCTCCTTCACAACTTTAGTTATTTATTCTGCCACTGCGCTTTCCTCTTTCCCACACACAGCCACAGGACCCGATGCTGTTCCCACTGCACTCGCGGGAGAGTATTCCCTTGGATGCAGAAGGGAAAGCTGTTACTGTATTATTATTATTGGCATTGCTGGAAGTCTCCCTCAGGCAGAGAGGGAAGCATGCAAAGACTAAAATCTGTGTCCTGGGAAGCCTATGATTCCAGATGACGTGTGGAAGAAACAGGCCTACATTTCAGGGAGTAAAAAAGGAGCTTACACTCCCTTTAAGCAGGGTGTCCCTAAAATGCTTTGCAAGCAGACAGATTTCACTTGCTTAGAGCTGGGCAAGGCATGGGAGAAGGCAGGAAAGTCCATGTTCAGAGGGAACATATCACTGCCACCCACTGCTGACCACCTTTAGCATCAGTTTTGTGGGTAGCTGTCTGGGGAAGGGCCCATTCCCTGTTCTGCATGGATTCAGCAGAAGCCACAGGGGAATGGGGCTCTGGGTTACCAGTTAACCATGGGCTGATGGAGGGCACATCCCATCCTGAGCACTCACCCTCTTCTGACTGATTTAATCCGGCTTTGAATAAGGATAAGATGGGCAAAAGGCTCATTAGTATTGATTATTGTTCAGCACCAAGACTGGCATTTTCATTGACTTTCACCTGCTGTCAGCCTGAACACTTGGATGTACTTCAAGCTGTAAGAGTGACTGCACTGACTTCTGTCAAAGAGACATCAAGGCACCTCCAGAAAGCAATTTGTACATCAAGGAGGTGAAGGGACTTGCCTTCCGATGGCAAGTCTCCCCATGGAGGCAGCCTGGGGCAGACATGTTCGGAGGAGGGAATCACATCCTGCCCCTCCTCACACTGCGACACAGCCTGCCTTCAGCTCTTACAGTGAGAAATCTCTACCCATTACCATACATTTAGCAGAGAAAATAAACACTCCCTGATGCACCAGCTACTTGTTCCTTCTTCCTAACAGCTGTGAAGACCGTGAGTCAACCTACAAATGGGCTGTGCAGTGAGAGACACGAGCCAGCTTGGTTATTTCAGACACGACGGCGCAACGTGCCGTGAAACCGCAGCTCTGAGCTCTTCTCTCAGCACTCGTGCCTGCCTCTGTGACGGGGCATCACCTGATGCAACCACGAGAGATGACACTGCCAGCCCTGGTAATGTTCCACTCTAAGCAATATAATGCTTGTATATTGTACATCCAAAGTAATTAGACAGAAATTAAGTGAGTCCATCATGGCTATGCTGGGAAACTACAGCAGAGCCATAAGGAGAAGTGATGCCTCCCAGGCCCCAGCCTGGTTTTTGGCTGTGATCTAATCTGTGCCACTGCAGATGCACTTGCAAGGTGTTACCCTTCTCTGCCCCAAAATTTCCTCTTACACTTCTCAAGGAGATTTGGGCATTTCATTATTACAATTTTAAGTATACAAATAAAAAACTGTTCAAAGCCTTAACAGACATCTACAGCAGCACAAGCTTGTCAGGTTGAATAGAAACTCATAACATTTTTGCCATTGGTTGCCTGATGCCTTCTGGGTCCAAGTATGAGCTGAGAAAAACATTCTGCCTCGTGCACCAAGAACTGTTCTCACTTACAGTCTAACCTTTAAATTTTTAAGTGCACTTCAGCTTTTGCTGGATCAGGCTCGTGTCTCAAGTCTTTGTTTTCAGGAGATACATCTGCCAGTCAACAAATGAACTGCAGCACAGTGATTGTCTCTCCCCTTGACTGACACAGTTGTTTAGGCATGAAGATTTGCAGCTTTGAAACTTCTAGATATGAAGAAGGTCTCACATGTTCAGTAAGAAGAGACTCTTTGGGGAACAAGACGAAGAGACAAAAAAGCAAAACACCGTATTTTCTCTGAAACAATAAGTTACTGAAACCTATCAACTAACAAAACTGGGTTCACACTAGTCTTCCAAGATCTCTGGCTGACATCTGAGGACTATATGCCCAGTTGTTTCTCATTTTTCACCTTCCAAGCAAAAATAACCCTTTCTCATTGTCATATTGATAATTTCTGCCCCTGAAGCTGATCTGGAATCAGTTTGAATCATCCGAAAAACACAGTTCAGCCCTTACTCAGAGACCAGACTAAGGACAGTGACGGAGCAAATCCCCTGATGTATTTCTGTTCTGATCCACACGGACTCCATTTGGCAAAGTACTGAGCAGACACAGGCACTGCCCGGTCAAGTGTTTACCTTCTACTGCAGAAAGCCAAAGCTTGCAATTTGATGATCTACAGTGAAACAATTAAGATTTACACTAAACTCTAATTCATTGAGGACTAGGTCAAAATACAGTTGATTGAGGCTACCATGAA